AAAATTTACTCTGATGAGCGGGGTGTTACAATAATTGACATGGGACGACATGCCAAAGTGATTGGAAAAATGACTATGTTTTAAATGTAACAAGAAGTTTGTGACCGGGCATAGATGTAAGGAAAAACAGTCCTTTTTAATAGAATTCGTGGAATCGGACGAAGAAAGAAATGTAGAAGACCTACTAAAGTATGGCGTTGATCATCACAAGGACCGATTGGAGATTTTATTTCATGCAATGGCTGGGACCAAAGGACCAAAGACTATGAAGTTGCCGACATGAGTGTAGGATCGCCGAGGGGCGGTGCTGGTTAATAACGACTCATCCCACAACTTCATTGATTCCTCCCTTTCGAGCAAGCTGGACCTACTTATGACTAACATTGAGCCATTTGATGATAAAGTCGCTAATGGAGAATGATTCAGATGCTCCGAAATCTTTCGAAATGTACCCATCAAGCTGTAGGACGTGACTATAAATGATGACCTATATGCATTGCCCTAAGTTAGGACGGATGTCGTGTTGGGGGTCTAATGGATGGAAGGATTGGGCTAGTCACGACGGATTATCAAGTCGGTGCAATGGAAGTTTGATGGGGCGGTGACCTTATCAAATTGACGGCATGGGTCATTGACGGAATAAAATAGGTGATCTTGAAAAGCATAGAGAAGTTATGGAAGGGCGGTTGACAATTCATTGTAATTAAGTGGGATAGGGGAAATGACAACAGTGATCGTACGAGCCAACACCACCAGGCCATCACCGAACTTTTTCATCCGTTTGAAGAGATCCTGGTCGAGCCTAAAGGTCGACCTCCATGATGTGTTTTCAATCATCATATTTATTTGAAGGATGAAACACAAGCCATCATGTTCATTCGTACCGGTACGCCCATTTCCAGAAGACAAAGATAGAAAGGCAAGTCTGGGAGATACTGGGTGGGATGATTAGATTTAGCACGAGTCCTTTTTTCTCACCAGTGTTTTTCGCTAAAAATAAGTATGGGACCTAGAGTTTTTTATTTTATCTTATGGATTTTCAGGCGGCGAATGCAGCAACGATACAAGATCGGTTTCTTATTTTGAGTATCAATGACATCTAGATAAGCTAGAGGGGTTGTGCTACTTATCCAAATTGGATCTACAGACCAGATTCCACCATATCAGAGTGGCACAAAAGGATATCCCGGAGACGACTTTTTTCACTCGACAAGGGAACTACGAGTACTTGGTAATGCCTTTTGGGTTGTGTAATGCTCTATCGACCTTTCAATTTGTCATGAACGCCTTATTTCAAGAGTTCTTGCGTAGATATTTCTTGGTGTTCTTTGATGATATATTAATTTATTCAAAAAACTCGGAGGACCCATTGAGCTTGAGGTTGGTCTTGAGGATTTTGGAAAATGAGTTTAACATTAAACCGTCAAAGTGTTCATTTGACCAAAGTACGGTCTAGTACCTGGGTCATATAATTTCTTATGGGGGTGATAAAGTTGACTCCAAGAAGATAAGGCAATGCATTATTGGCCAAAGTTGAAGGGTTTGATAGAATTACATGGATTTTTTGGGTTGACAGACTACTATTGAAAGTTTGTCAAGGACTATGGGACGATTGCCAAACCCTTGACTGAAATGACAAAAAATGGCAGGTTCAAGTGACGGTGGCGAGCGAAGAGGTATTTGATATTATTGCTGAATACTTAGTTGATATTATTATTGCCTATTTATTATATGATTAATTTTATATATAATTTTTTATTATTTAAATATTGTAATACATAATGCATATTAATTTAGTTCATTCATTGTGCATATTTAGGTAATAGAAAATGCATTTTAGTTCATCATAGTGCATAATTGTTATATTTAAATTAATTATATACCTATTGCATATTTAGTTAATTCATTATGCATATTTAGGTAATAAGAAATGCATATTTAGTCATCATACTGCACATTTAGTATATTTAAATTATGCATATTTATTTCATACAAAATGCATATTTAGTTCATCATAGTACATATTTATTATAGTTAAATTAAATATAATGCACATTTAGTTCATTCATTATGCATATTTAGTTTTTCATAGTGCATATTTATTATATTTAAATTAATTATATACATAATGCATATTTAGTTCATTCATTATTCATATTTAGGTAATAAGAAATATGTATATTATTATATTTTTGTATGACACTTGTTACTTGTGCGACTTACCTGTGTTATATTATAATAATTTTTCTAACTTATAATATATAACTACATTAAACATAAATATATTAATTGAGAAATAATTTTATTTTTCTAATTAATTTTAATAAATAATAATTATTATTATTATAAAGATAAGTTATGTTATACAATATGGATGTCAAATCGAAACTTATCAAAAGATGATTAATTTGATATATTATATATGCAAAATCGATAAGAAATACAAAAGTCATAAACTTTTAAAATACGTTTACAATTCAACTGTTATGATATGGAATGATAATAAAATACAAATAATATATCTAAAATGATCATAAACAAATCAACATATTTTATGGTAATCCGGACCTAATTATTTTTTATTTGTAATTAAATTAAAAATTGAAACATGGAATTTTGACACCTAGTATCCCGAAGCATGTGAGTCAATCACTTAGACTCAGCATATTCGGGAATCATATATAGTGAGATTATATATAGGGGATATGTGACAAGGGTCAACCTAGCTTGGAACCGCCCCTGACTACGGGTCTTGGAACTGAACCCGTGATAAAACCAGGCCGATTCCAAGTCTTTGTTTTTCTTTTTTGACCCGCCGGTTCCGGATCATAAGACGGGTCATAGTTGTTTTTTATTTTTTGTATTTTTTTATAAAAAAAATTGGCGGTTCAACAAACTGTCGGGTCTGGCCAGTTATTTTGAACCAACCTTTAAATATAGCCGGGCCAGTTTTGGACCCAACATTTGTTGCCCCACCGACCCAATAGACCGGGCCGGGTCGTGAATTGGCTCGACTTTTGGACACGTCTATGTATACACATATGTAGATACGACAAACACATGCCAAACTTTTTTGAAGTATATTGATTATTAACCACACAAAAAGTCTTCTAGTGATGCAGATCACGCTGACGTGCAAGCAAAGCAAATGTTGCATATGCTAGCATTTACTAATAACAACAAATAAAACTTCTCACATCTAAAATCTGACTCCACATTTATACAACCAATTTTATTTATTTATTTATTTTTTTTTAAAAAAAATCAGTCTTATCTTCAACAAATTCAAAACCAAATTAAATATATAGTAAAGAAGCATCAAATTTAAATTTAATAATTAGATATAAGATATTAAAAATCAAGTTATTGGAAATCAAACTTGATATTTCAATTGATTTTGAGTCGTCTAATCAAAATTAATTAAAAATTCCAGAAAATATTAAATCATCTTAAATAATTTCAGATACCCAAATTTCATTTTTTTTTTCAGTCAATGTGGAACAAGATTGTGGCTCATAATAATGAAAAATACTACAGTCTCATTACGAAACCATTTCGTCGGGGTTTAATCGTTAGATCATCATGTAACCATCAAGAATAGTTGATCTATCAGTTACAAACCCCGACATAATAGTTTCGTAATAGAACCGTAATATCTCTCCATAATTATTATGGATGTTTTGTGGAATATACCAAGAAAGGTATAGGAAAAATACATGTAATTTCCAAGTCACCGCGTTTTGGCTGCACGACCAATTCTATTTTCCCATAAAGTCAAGGTGAATGAAATTTAATAGCTTTGCTTTGAAACCTCTATAAATACACCTATGCCACCACAAGCACTAATCACACCTTCAAATTGTCTAATAATACTTCAAAATAATCCCAACATTGTTGTGTCTCCTTGCATAATTTCAATCCAAAATTCCCAACATTATGTATACATCTTATTTCAGTTCATATGATATGGAACCATCAATTGATCTATATGGCACTTCATCATCTTCGATCATAGAGGATAACACGAGCACTCGCAATATGATACGATGGAAATCGGGTAAAAGGGTCGACCCGAGGCTTATGACCGTGCTACAGTTATTTGGAGAGATATACATGGAACGGCACGAGTTCTTCGACAGAATCTTTCGCGGGGACCATGAAGATGCATTTAAGAAAGTCGAGACATTGTTGAAAAGAAAGAAGACGATGAAAAAAGCCAAGAGCATGCCACGGAGTCTAAGCATGAGAGCAATCGGCCGGCAAAGAGGAGTTGATGGTGAGGACGACGGTTTGCGGCTCGACCGGTTTAAGATTAGGACCCCAAATGTGATTGTTGCCGACCCGGGTGAGCAAGGGGAAAAGACAACTACATAAGGCTCCTCCAAAGATTTGAAATGGCTACATTTTATGCATAATTATGTGTATAACATATATATTCTTTCACCATTTATCAGCAAAACAAATAAATAATAGAATTGTACCTTTAAAAAAAATTAATAATAATAACAGTGTCTCATGAATCTATGAGTGCACCATTGTATAGAATGTATGAAGCGCAATTCGTCATTTTCTTCTGTGAATAGAATAATTTTCGGTTTGTTTAATTTTTGATAAATTTTTAAATTAATTATATAGTAGATCAGAGAGTTATTTTAGATATAGTGTTATAACTAGTACACGTGTATTATACGGTTTTTTGTTGAGAAAATTATATTTAAAATTTAAAATAATAATAAAAAATTGTTTTAATTATGAATTGTTTTTGAATAATTATTTTACTATTTATATTTAAAATAACATCCATTACTTATACGGTTTACCATAGTATATTATAATATTTTTTAAAATATATTATTTAATAACTTTGTAGTTAAATTGATTTAAATAATTTTATTTTTTAATTAGTATTAATAGGTAATTTAATTTTTATTATAAGAGATAAATATAGTTATTTATTTATTTTGTATGTACAATATATGTGTCAAATCGAAGTTCATCAAGACATGATTAATTTGATCTATTATGTATAAAAAAATGATAATAAATAACAAATTTATTAATTCTTAAATCTACTTATACTTTAAGTTAGTACTTTTTTTATAATTTAAAAGAAAGAGGAAGAAAAAAGAAAGATTGATCACGTCTAGAATATGCAATGTAATATAATTAATAAGGCCTAATTGCTAATAAAACTATGACCTTTTCAAAAATTGCAATTATATGTACCACTTTTAAACTTGGCAAAAATATACACCACTTTCATTAATGTTTGCAATTTCATCCTCCGGGCCCAATTTCGGTCTTTTATTGCCTGCTGAGATTGGGATTGCTGGCCTGGCGCTGAGGTGGCGAAAAAAAAAAAAAAAACTGCTGAGATTGGGATTCAAAAGATAATAATGAAAATAATATAATATAAGATATAAAGTGTAAAAACAGTAAAGTAAAATAAAATAAAATTAATAAAATAATAAATCAAAAACATATTATGAAATAATAAATTAAAATATAAAATGAAAATAGTAAAATAAAAAAACATTATTTCATTATATTATTTTTAATATAATAAATTAAAATATTTATTATAATACTCTAAACTAATTTATTAAATAATTTGATATTATTTTAATAAATTATTTATTAATATTATATTATAAAAAATTATAATGAAATAATGTTTTTTTTTTTATTTTACTATTTTCATTTTATATTTTTATTTATTTTTATTTATTATTTCGTAATTAGTTATTTGATTTATTATTTTATTTTACTTTACCTTTTTTTTATTTTATAATATTATATTATCTTTATCCCCAGCAATATGTCATGTAAGCAGAAATCATCATCACATTATTCACCAGTCATATGCCATGTCAACAGACATTGCAAGAAATTCGCCACATCAGCAATAAAAGCCCGAAATTGGGCCCGGAGGATGAAATTGCAAACATTAATGAAAGTGGTGTATATTTTTGCCAAGTTTAAAAGTAGTACATATAATTGCAATTTTCGAAAAGGTCATGGTTTTATTAGCAATTAGGCCATAAATATTTTTGATATCGAAAATCATACCAACCCAAAGCACCGATTTAGTGCTAATTATCGAGTGATTACGCTAATGAAAAGCGGTATGATGTAATTAATATTGTTGCTAAAGTGAATAATAATGAGGTTGGATGTTTTGACAACTCAGGCCAGATCACCAACTTTAGTGTTGTATTAAATGAGCGAATATTTGTGTCAATTATCAAAAATTTTTAAACCTCCTTCATAATGGATTCCTAGGAATATTTATAATAAGATGTCTCGACTACTGTTACTCGGGCAGTACAATTGCATATTGAATGGAAAAGACAAGTATTAAATGTTGCACATGACCCAATCAGGCTTTTCGGCGTAGGCGGGTAGACATTGTTAGGGTTGTCCCGTCATTAATGATACAGGTGAAAGTTGTCATTATTTTAAGTGTTCATGCCGTCCTAGTGCGGTCGGACTGGGTCTCGGTTGTTCCATTTGACCATCGTCTGGCCGGGTTTTTCATTGGGTTGATCAGTTGTACGACCTCCTGTGATAGGCTTATATGATCGACCCTCTGAATGGTGCCACCTCTAGGTCGATCCCTTTCCATTGGGCCACTCAGACATCCGAGCTCGGCTTGATGGTGCCCAGAAATACCAACATCCTCTTTGACCTATCTAGTCGTGCTATTCCCTGGAGTAGGTTAATCCTTTAGGGTTTAACCTACTGTCTCTTTAGGTCGAGTTTCCCCCATATTACATCTTGCCAACCCGAGTTCTGTACTTTAGACAATTACATGTCTGATAACATTATTTAACTTTGAGTTCTTCCAGCTCAGCTCAAATATTAACAATTATCTAGCATAATTGTGGTTATTCCAAACCTAATTATTTCTAGAATGAGAGTAATTATGGCTCTTAACACGATGAGTGTTAATGACATACTTCTCATAAGAAACAATGTGAACGTGATGTAAAGGTACTATTATCCAAGTAGGTTGATATTAAGGACTTGGGGGGAAGCAAAACATATTCTTTGGATGAAAGTAATAAGGGATCTCAAGAAATGCATGTTCTGCTTATCCCAAACTTCATACATAGATACAGTCCTAACCTGTTTTATCATGCAAAATTTCTAGAGAAGACGCCTTCCTTTACAGCATGGAATTATTCTATCTAAGGATATTTGTCCACAGACAACGGAAATAGAGATATGAAGGAATTTCTTTACGCATCAACTGTAGGGAGCCTCGTGTATCCAATGCTTTGTATAAAGTTGTATATCAACTTTATCGTAGGAATGGCTAGCAGATATCAGAGTAACCCTAGACAAATACATTGGTCTCCGATAAGAAATATAATCAAGTACCTCCAAAGGACTAAGGATGATATGCTAGTATACCGGGCAGATGGCTTGGAGCCTGTGGGATACACATTTCAAATTTCTGCCAGACAGGGAAAAAAGTAAATCTTCCTAAAGTTATGTGTTTACTTTAGAAGGTAGAGCCATAGTTTGGCGGAGTGTTAAGTAGGTCTGAGCATGGGACTCGGAGAATTCCGAGCTGTTCTGGATACCGAACTGAAATCACTTCGAATCGAAAATAACCGTTGACCGTTTTACTTTTTCCGAATGAACCGAACCGAAAAAATAATTGGCGATTCTGGAGATTTCATAAATATCCATAACAAGAACCAAATTGAACCGTCATATACAGTATCGAACCGGAAAACCGAGTTAAGACATTAGTTGTGTGTTATTAATATATTTTATGTCAACTTTGATCCTATATAATTTGAGAATTTTAAAAAAGCAAATAAAATATAGTAATAAAAATTAAGCTTTACTTAAATTTCATGCTTAATACTTGATCTATAATTTAATTTTTTTTTGTTTAAAAAATATTTATATAAAATTATATGAAAGGTTAAACAACTATTTATAAATATATTCAAACTTCACTTCAATTATTGATACTTTTTTCCGCCTTATTATATCTTATAAATAAAACTGTATGAAAGGTTAAAGAAATATTATTTTTAAAAAATAATATATATTTTATTTGGATTTTAAATTTTAATTGTTTGTTGCACAAATTTAGTCTTACACAAAATTTAGAGTTACTTCTAAAGTTGATTTCAAAATAAATTCTTTAATATGATGAAATATTGAAGTATGTTGGATTATTTTTTGTAAAGCACATTAAATTAAAAAATAGGTAGTCATGCAAATAAATAATAATAATTAGAAATATCGGAAGATCCGAACCGAACCAAACATATCCGAACCATTCCAATAGTCCCAAACACCGAACCGAACCGAACCAAAAAATAAAAATCTCTGAAACAAACCAAATCGATTTTTTGGTATGGTCCCTTAGATTGAAATTTAGTAATCTCCAAATTTCGGTACAGTTCTGGAGATTGTCAATCCCCAAACAATACTGAACCATGTTCACTCCTAGTGTTAAGAAGAAAAATGTGTGGCAAACTCCACCATGGAGGTCGAATACGTTGCAGACTCAGAGGTAGCAAAGGAAATGGTATGGTTCTAGAGCTTCTTGTTTGACTTGGATGTGATTCGGAGTTTTCACAGGTTTCTAAGAATTTATTGTGATAACAGTTGTGCAGTGGAAAACTCGAAGGAGCCACGAGCCCATAAGACAAGTAAAAATATAAAGCGCAAATACCACATTATATGAGAGATCATAAGACAAAGAAAAGGAGTTGTATTTAATATTGCATCAACGGACAACCTAGCAGACCTTTTTACTAAAGATGTTTCGGCGAAATCTTACGAGAAGCATGTAAAAGGAATGAGAATCAGATGTTTGGCGTTTTAGAGCAACAAAACCTCTATGTATGATTGAGTTAGATAGATAGACCGATACTTAGAAAACAATATCTTTAAGTATAAGTGGGAGATTGATGATTCGTATACTAAAAGCATTGCTTCATTTGAACTAATTTCCGTTTTGAATAAAAAAAATCATATTTAGTTAGTTGTTGTGCAATTTACTTTATGTATGGAATTTTTTTTTGTCATTTTATTGACATTGAAGATAAAATAGTGTGACATTTCCTCACAATGAAGATTATATTATCGATTTCTTGTACAATAAACAAATAACGTTCGTAACCGATAGCCTAATGGTATGGTTATAGTATAATTTGAGTTAGTTTATTTGACTAATGATTATACTAGTACACTTTTTGTGTGTATTGAACCGGACCATGGAGGAGAAAAATTTATATTGACCCAATAAATAAACTAGACCTCATGATACCGTTCGTACTGTAAAAGTCGTTTAATAATGATGGGAAAATGTGATTAATAATGGTTATTTGATTCATCAAAGAGTGAGACTTATTCTGCTAAGTCAATAACTCGGTGCATTGAAAATTATTATTAATCATATGGTGTGTTGTCGGTTATATTCGGTCACTGACTCACTGTGCCTTAGTGCGCTAGGCTGATTACATTCTCAAGATGAGCTCGAAAGGATTATTATGTCAAGCCTGCAGGAGGATTTATTTCTGACATGATAATAAGGTTGAATGATACTAGTCACAGAAAACCAAGAAGCTAATTAGTAAATTGTCAATAACTAAATTAATTAACAGATATTATATCTTAAACACGTGGAGATAAATCGATGATAGTGGAGACCATGTAATTGGGGTGAGGAAAAAGTAGTCAAATAATAAATCTTTAGTGGACTAATTTATCGTTAATGACCCAAAAAGTAGGGTGGACCGCTTCTCAAGTATTTGTTGGCCCAGTGGAAGACCCAATTCTAACTTGCTTAAGGTCCCTCTTGTAGTATACAAATAAATCATATGGGGGATGAATCTCTTGCTAGAGATCAAAAATTCACACGCCACCTTAATAGATATAAAGTTGCGTGCGCCGGTGAAATCAAGAGAAACAGAGAGCCAAGAAAAGAAGAGTCGGCGACACAAGTGCAGGAGATTGTCGCCCACACTACGCGCAATTGAGGTGAAAAAAATGCAGCAGAGGAAACTTGAGGTTGCAGACAGACAACAAGACGTGCGAGTTTGAGAAGACCAGAGTTAGAACGTTCGTCCTCTCCATGGGCCGTGTAAGTCATCTCAGGGTCGACTTTAAAAAAATAGGAAGATTTTGATCATAAGCTTTTGATCCGCTGCACTTAATTTCTTAAAATACGATGAGAGAATAATAACCGACGTTTTTCACCGAACCAACATTGATGTATAAACAAACTCGAGGGTATCTTGTCTACTATGTTCAACCAAACACAATATATTATGAAATGTAGTGTGCCATTAGATTTATTTATTTATCATTAAAAATATATTATTGAAGTATCTCACTCTTTCCTTTTCTTGCAGTAGTTCTTAATTAAGAATTAAATATAACTATCTTGAACTACATTGTTGAATTATTTGAATTTGAGGGAGGGAGTTGTGATTTGTTTATTGTTGTAACAACATTTGTCTTAAAAAAAAAAAGAATTAAATATAACTATCTATTTATCTTTAAAATTTTATTTGTTCACTCTTGTTTTTATAATTATAAAGTATTATTTTATTTTTATTTTCCTTTTGTACTAGATCACGAAACGAGAACCGAGCGAGAATAAGACACTCCAACACAAAAAAATAGAATATAAAAAAATAGTCATATCCCATTTTTTTTTTTTCTTGTTATTATTAAAAAATGGGGTTCCGTTGACATTTGGCACAGCCCAATTCCATTCCAGACCATGGGTCCTCTCCACCACCACCACCACAACCACAGGTTTTCCAATGTCTACGGTCTCAACCGCACAGGTTTCTTTCTCTACACTCATGGCATCACTTCTACAGAGTAAAATACACGTTTTAGAGCGAGGAACATAGTCTTCTTACATCAATAAAACAAGGTTGTCTGAACTATGCAAAGATTGGGATTTTCTTTGTTCGGAGAATGAGAGAGGGTTTTGCTCCGGCGGCCTGTAGATTGAGCTGTTTGATGTTCTGACTCACTAACGTTGGAGGGCTTGTTTTTCCTTTGTCCTTTGTCCTCTTTCTTTCTTCTCCCTTTTAGCTGTTACGAGTTATGACAACAGCAGGACTTCGAAATTCTTCCATTAATTGACTATTTGTGAGAGAAGAAAATGAAATCTTCCCGGGTAAATTTGGTGATGACAGTGATTGGGTTCGGGCTGAGTGTTATGTTCATAGTGTTTGTGTGCACAAGGCTCATTTGTGCTCGGATACTGTTGATTGCATCCAGGCGGTCTGCTAGGTCGTCCAGATCTGATCTTACCCATGTAAGAGCATTCATTTGAATCTGTTGTCTTATGTTGTGGTGGATTCTAACGTTAGTGGTGTTTTCCCATGTCAATCTTGTTTGTGTTTGTGAATTTTAATGTAAAGAATTTCGGATATATGTCAAAATCTTGAATATAGTTATCTGTTTTTGCACCTTTCTTGAGATTGTGTTTGTGAATTTTAATGTAAAGAACTTCGGATACATGTCAAAATCTTGAATATAGTTATCTGTTTTTCCACCTTTCTTGAGCTCTGCAGTAGGTGGTCAAGATTCTTTTCCAAGTAGCTCTCAGTTAGGCAGTTGTAAAGACTTTACGAGTCTGGTTAGGCTTTGATTTATGGTATAATGGCTTCTATGCACTTATTCTATGCTTGCAAGCAGCTTGTAAGCAGTTAAAAAGATTAAGGCCAACTTGTAGTACACTTAAATTGTTTGTTGTGAATCGTTTTTAGCTCTTGTATTACACTTGCTGGAGTATCTCTTTCTATTGTATCTAGCAGATGACTATATCTCTATGGCTCATTTTTAGCTCCTTTCATATGAATGAGGTTCGAAACTATTTTCTTTTGTTTTGAAACAGTTAGAGAGGGGTTCTCGTGGCCGTGAACATCTAACACCAGCTAACTTTCCTACCAAGAAGTATAGAGAATTATGCTCGTCCCTAGACGAAAGTTCTCGGTATGCTTACTTGATGCTATCTCAGTCGAAATCCACAATGTCTTATATTTCTTGTTTACTTTATTTTCTTTGTTTATTTATATGTTATTCCCATCTTACCTATGCTCTAACTTCACTTGAAACAGAGCCAGGAAATTTTTTATAAATGTTAATTGAAAATGTACTTTAAAGCAAAGTTTTTCTTAGATATTCTATTTGAAATATATTTAATGGTGTTGAAGAAAGTGTCATGTGGATGGTTTAGGATAGACATTGCTTTTTGTCAACAACTGAATCAGCTTTACACATAAGTGTGAGGATGGGTTGGTGGGTTGCACACTTTCAAAAGTCAATAGCAAACTTGGTGTTCAAAGAATAACTCAATATTCTTAAATAAACTATATATGATACATCAAGTGGGTATATTAATTTAAACACTCATTTATATTTTAATTATTAAAATAAATTAATTATATTAAACATAACAATTCTCACTTGTGTGCTTGATGAGTCACTCGTTTGAATATATATTTGCAAATAGCCCTTCAGATATTGTTTTGTGATTGAGTAGCCACAAATTTTCCAGCCTTTCGCATGCAGAGAAGTTCTATTTTCTCGGGCTAATATTCGATTAAGCTTCAAATATAAGGTTAATATGATGGTAAGTGGGAAAAGTAAGGAAACTTGATTTGTCCTTCGTTCAATGGTATGTACAAATTCATAATCTGGAAGTAACAACGGAATAATATAGCGGCTATTATTTGTGGGGTCAGTTGGCATTTCATTGCTTGGGGGGCTAATATTAGTTGTTAGAGTAATAAAATAACTTGAATCTGTGAGAAGAAACGAGAAACGTGATGTTATTTTAATTCCCAAAACCGGATTCTCTCTTTCTGTCAGATGTATTCATCTTCTTATGCTTTTTGTTTGATTATTCCTGTTCTCCTCATTTGATGAAATATTTCTAAATAAGGTGATGATAATAATAGTGAAGCGAATAAAGAATAATATGATGACTTGCTGATATCTATTTTTAGATGGAATTTAGTCCGCAGTGTTTGGATTGAGTTCTTGAGACTTGTTACACGAAATACCTCTTCTCATGGAACTCTAGTGTAAAACAATTATCCCTGTCGATTATTATGATTTGTGAAGCAAGGTATGTATATTATCTGCATGAGCACAGTTGTCTTAAGAGTATACTTCTCATGGTTAGATTTGAACTACAGGATTGTAGCCGAGCTTCACTTAAATATATCAGTGTACGTAATTTTTCTGTGTGACGGAATTATGACTTGCTATATTTTTCTGCATATATGATCACTTCCATGCATAAATGAAATATTTAATCTCGTTTTAAGTACGGGAGTGGAAATAAAAAAAAAATTGTATAGCTTGATTGGCATATGGAACGTTTGCCGAAGCAGAGTAGCTCTCATCTTTGTTCCAACTTCCATTCAATATCTCACTTGAATTTGTGATTATTTCAGAAATATGTCAGAAACAGCTTCGTATTTTACAACTTGTGATATGTATCATAACGAGCCCATTGCTCAAGGTGGCAAAATCTTTTGTATATGCTTCTGATCTCCACAACCTTCTGTTTTGCAATCAACATTTTTTTCCCTAATTTTGGATGCAAGCAATTGCCTATTTGTGCCTTAATTTGTTCTTACATCAAGTTAGTCTTTACCATGATGCAATATATCTATCAATTGTTTGTAGATCACTATTTTTATTGTTTGCTTCAACCATTCACTAAAATAGATATTCGCGTGCTCAGGCTATTAGAAAAAAAGTTCTCCCTTCGCTATAAATTATATTCCATTGTGGCACAGATGCACTGTTTGCTTGGCCGACTACCACGAAGAGGACACGTTGTGCATACTTCCATTGTGTGGACACATGTTCCACACGACATGCATCGGGATATGGTTACAACAGCACTCCACGTGTCCTGTGTGCCGAGTTTCGCTCGGTGAAATCTCGAGGAGAAAATGGTTCATGCAACCCATGTTCAGTTCAGCCTTTAGATATTCTCCGCGCAATGTGCAGTCTTTGAACTTGCATCATTGTCATTGCACGGCCAATGGCAATAGGCATCCGTTGAGAATGCACGAGGACGGGATAGCGGGCCCCGCTCGTGATGGAGATAGTGTTGGGGATAGAAGTCCCATTGCAGTTAGTCACAGGGAGAGTATCAAGAAGTAGGGCCCTTCGCCGGAGGTGTGGGCCGCCTTTGTCGACTTTTCACTGTATTATTATTATTATTATTGATTTTGTAAATATGTTGTTTAATGATGTTTCCCGTTCGGTTTTCTTTTACGTCGGCAGTTTTGTTTAGCTCACTTCAGACAGCAGTGTTTGTTGTACATGGGTCTTGCTTGTTTGAGGGACACCAGTGGGGTTTTGGAGTTGGTTTTTGCTGTTTGGAATTTGAGCTACTTGGAAGTTTTAAGGTCATATATTTAGGACATTTCATTAGTACAACCATGTGCTGCAATTTGTATTTAAATTGATGAAACCAAAGAGTGGGCCCCATCACCTTTATGGCATAAACAATGAATTATCATGTGGGTCAATTGGAGCTCACCAAGAAAAATATCTTGCACAACAAAATAAAATATCTAAAAAGTAAATGAAACCACAAAGAATACAAAAGGTACCAAAACTGAACTCACAAATATAATGGGAAATTGCACTAAACCTCATTGTGTTTTGAATGTGCGTGTTTTCTCACTGTTTTCTCACTGTGGTTTAAAAAATACACTCTATATTCTCTTATATTTAAGTAATTGGTATACACATTCCCTTTTTATTGTTTCCCCGTTAACGACATTAATTTTTCCACAAAATTCCTATTATACCTTCTGAATATTATATATATATTTATGATAAATTGAATTTATCACGATATTTTGAATATATCGCGAAAAATTGATTATCAAAAATTTGCTACCCGTGGGTTTGGAATATGAAACCTCATGTGACCATGGAGAGCAATGCAACCACCACACCACTCAAGGTTGATGTAAAATCTACGAATATTTAATATTTATGGACATTACTATGGATAAATGAAATTAAATTTAGAAGATAATGTAAATTGTATCAAATTAAATTATTAAAATATAAACTTATGATAAATTTAAATATAATAAACTAAATTATATAAAACTAAACGAAAAAATAACTTAAATAACTTATTATCCCTCCCTATATATTAATTCAAAACGTGTTGAGCCTAGGTAGCAGATTCTCACGCTTCAGATGCTGACATGGCGAAAATCTATGCTTCGTAATGTTGTTTTTATATTATTTTTGCTTTGGAGTTAGGTTTGGTAGTAGACATAAATAATTTTATACATATATTCATTAACTCAACACTCATGTTGTACATGGGTATTAGTAGTAATAATCCTCCCTATATATAATTCCAGAATGCGCTGAGCCTACGTGGCTGCTTCTGGTGCTTCGGAATCCTATTTGGTGAAGAATCATGCTTCGTAATTAGGTTTGGACAAATAATATTAATATATTAATAATTAATAATCTAGGTTCGGGTATTCCATAAATATTATTTAGTTAACTTAGGTATTTAATATCACTTTTACTAATATAACCTTTTAATTATTTGTATTTTTACATAGTGAGACACTAAGTGACTAATATATCTCTAAATTTCGATTTGCTTCCTTCAATAAGCTATTGAATTATAAATGTATTTTAAAAGTAGATAACTTTTGTATTTCTTATCGGTTTTACATATATAATATATCAAATTAATCATCTTTTGATGATCTTCGATTTGACATCTATATTGTATATATAAAATAAATAAATTATATTTATCTTTATAATAATTAAAAATAATAATATTTTTAAAATTCATTAGAAAAATAAAATTATTTCTCAATTGATATATTTATATTTAATGTAGTTATATAGTGTAAGTTAAAAAATTAGTATAATATAACACAAGTAAGTCGCACAAATAAAAAGTATCATAATAAATATATAATAATATATATATATTCTTATAAAAGGTATTTAAATTTTCAAACTACTTTTTCTCATTAATTTTAAATTTTAAGAAAAAAAATTAGCAAACACCCGTGTAATACACGGGTGTTGTACTACTATTAAACAAAAACGAAATAATTAATATATATTATAAATAAATATAAAAAATTAGTTAACAAACTTTTTTATATTTTGTTTAACTTAAGACAATGAAATAAGATTAAACTAAATTTTACTAAATAAAATGCAGAAATTCAAATTACTTATTTATAATTATATCATTTACTGAAAAATTATTATTTACTTCAATTTTTTTCTTTCATATTGTATGTAAGAGTAAATCATGTTAAAGTTATTTGATAAATTATAATTTTTTTATTTTATTATATTAATTAAAGATTTTTATTTATTTTAATTTAATATTTCACATAGTTATTTTATTTATTATGTTATTTTACATTAACCATTTTTGTACTTTATTATCTTATATTATTATTATTATTATTATTATTATTATTATTATTATTATAATTCTTATATTATTATTATTATTATTATTATTATTATTATTATTAGTGTATTTTAATTTTATTTATTTTTAACATTAACTATTAATATTATTTTTCATTTCAAAATGCATATATAATTTATTTTATTATATTAATTTAAGATTTTTATTTATTTTCATTTATTATTTCAAAAAAAGTTATTTGTCTTATTACTTATTTTATTTATCATTTTTATACTTTATTATCTTATATAATTATTATCTTATTATATCTAAATTAGTCTATTTTAATTTTACTTACTTTTTTGATTTTTTATATTATTTTTTCATTTAAATTTTATATAATTAATTTATTTTAATAATTAAAGTATAAATTTATTTAATTTTAATCACGCTACTATATCAAATTTTATCTTACTTTATTTTATTTTAATTTTTTCATTATTTTTATATTAATTTAATCTATTGTAAGTTGTTATTATTATTAATTATTTAATGTATGTTAAATTTACTTATTATACTCTATTTTATTTGATTTACTCTATCTTTATTTTATTTAATTCATTTATGAATCATATTATAAATATATTTATGTTCAATAATTTACACAACCATTAGTGTAGCCTAGTGGTTGTGGTGGGCGTCTTCTATGCTTGAGACTCGGGTTTGAATCCTAGTTTCCACACTTAATATACTTTAACTTTTGCAATAAAATTTAGGAGGGTATAAATGTAAATTAATAATTCTGCAAAATAAAAAAAAAAAAATTGAACAATTCTCGCAACTGGAGAAGGTGCCTTACACGTGCAGTTAAGTTGGACGAAATTGGAGAACCGTGCAATAATTACTTAAATATAAGGGGGTATGATGCATTTTTAAAAACAGAGGGTAAAAACGCGCAAATTTCGTTAAACACAGAGGGGTTAAGTTGGAAGGAATTGGGAGAACCGTGCAACAATTACTTAAATATAAGGGGGTCTAGTGCATTTTTAAAAACAAATGGTAAAAACGCGCAATTTTCGTTAAACACAGACTGTCAGGGACGCCACGTGTTTTATCCCAAAATAACGGAATTTGAAAAGGAAGATGGAGCTTCACCGCTTATGGTAGTTGGATAACGGCTTAGTAGTATAAAGTCATTTCTTTAGTTTGCTCGAGTGGTTAAATAGATAGGAGGCGAAAGTGGGCGATAGTGATGCCTGAGCAAGCGGATACATGTGGCGATGACAACAGGCAGTCTTCGAGCATGACGGTGTTGCTGCTTCGTTTGCACGCAACGCTCAACCCGACGACAATCTAACGCGAATGGAAACGCATGGACACACATAGTTTCTTCGTCGATGATGGGAACCCGACATCCTCAGCGAAAGTGTGGCTCTATTGGAGGATGACGCTCGAAGACAGAGGCGGATGCACCTTGTTCCAAAGGGGGGCCATAGTCCCCCCCAAACTTTTAATTTTTCTCAATACATATGTATATATATAGATTCTATAACATTTATTTTTTGTAACATATATATCTATATATATCTATATATATATATTAAACTTATATACAACATATTCAATTTATTTGCATTCCAATTAAACTTATATAAAACTTTCAATTTATATACATTCCCATAAATATTACAAATTATTGTATAAGTCTATCTTTTAATTAGATTTAACTTCATCAAAATTTTTTAAGTATCTATTAACATTGTTTTATAATATTTTCGTGTTTGATCTAATTATGTACAATTAAAAAATTAAAGAGTACATTTGGAATAGAAGAAAATGCAACATATGCAATTCAACGGTTCAAAATAGAATTGCTAGAACTATTAATACCGCGGTAGGCCTTCTTTTGGCTATGTAATAGTTAAACAACTACACTCTCCCAACAAATATATTTATACCTCATACTTAAATAGCATGTTTTACAGTGCAATACAAACAAAAATATGACATTTTATAGTATAATGATGCATATTTTGCAGAAGAATATATGTCTAACAGTTCGATAGCCTACCAATTGTAGCATTTGTATTAATATCGAGCCAATCATCAACGAGTTTCATCAGTGTAAAGAATGTTGAGTATTTAAACTGTCAAAATTAAGAAGTTGTGTCTTTTGTAGTGCAACTTACTAATTAATTTAACAAATTTAAAATGCAATTATACACCTATATACATGTATGTGAGAGAGAGTGATATATTCAAAATTTTATAATCCCTCAAAATGTTATACATGTCAAGCCAAGTTGAATAACTCATGTTTAACTTATGATAGCTTAATAAATAAGTCGGATCAGCTCGACTATTGAATAAATAAACAAAAAAAATAAGCTCAAACTCCGCTTGTGTAAGCGTCTCTCTACTCGATTTGTTTAATAGAAAAGTTTGAATTGTCATTCTAGTTTGACTCATTTTATATAATGATATGAGGTTAAACTTTCACGAGTTGAACAAACACAATCCGGTTCCAATAAATAAATGTTTTAGCCCCTCCCAATTGTTTTTCCTAAATCCGCCCCTGCTCGAAGACAACACCAAGCTATACCCGACGATGGTGCTCGACAACAGCATGACGACTCCTGGCGATAATGCGACTAATCCGGAGACCGTCATCGCATGGCAGAGTGTCTGGCGACTTCCTGACAACCCGAGGGTGATGGTCGAAATTGATCGCGATTTGAACTCTGTCTAGGAACTCACATTTTCGCTTTCTACATTAGTTCTTGTGACTTCCTTTTTACTAGAAATCAGGTAGTCCATGAATAAAATCATCTATTAATATATAATAAGGATTAACATAATTCACTTTAGAAAGTCTTTCCCGCAAAAAACATTAATTACACACTAAATATGGTAATTTTAGAATCTATTTTAAATGAAAAAAAATATTAATTACATTATTATAGTTTCCTATTAAAATGATATCTGGATTGTATTTAAATATTCCGTTAGATATATTCTGTTATAAAATATTTGTTAGCGGATTTAATGGTGCATGCAATATTCTGTTAGCATATTTATAACGATTTATTTTATACATACCAATTTATTTACACTCAAATTATTTTAATTTATCATGATCTATTTTTTATGGTAGATGTTGGGTATTTTATCTTCATAGCAACGTATTTTAAAAAATCAGTGATATTGTCAAATCATTTTTATTTAGATTCTTGGATCCTTTGTTGTTGTATACGTTTTCAATTAATTTAAAATCAAACATTTTCATAAAATCTCATTTTTTTTATTAAATGATTTTCTCCGCTAATATTTTTTCTATCTATCAGATTTTATAAAATTACTTATTAAAAATAAAATTCGTTTTATCAAATTATTTTATAAAATCACGGTTTGTATGAAAATAATTTTGTTGAGTGTAATTTTTTATCTATCAGATTTTATAAATTATTGATTAAAAATTGAAATCACATTTTACAAATGGGCAATATATATTTTTTATTTTTATTTGCAAACAAACTTTAAATCATCAATGGTATTAGACATGTTATATTCACAATATGAAATTTTATACATTTTTTTATATATACAATAAGATATAAAAATGCAATATAAACAACTACAACATTCTCAGTCTTTCCAATAGAAAATGTAATAAACAGCGGGTGAAAAAAATACACAATTTTGATGGTACACAAGTAGCATTCACGTGAAAAAATATACAATATGAATAAAAATCACCAGTAGCGTTCAATGGTATTAGACATGTTATATTCACAATTTAAAATTTATAGTTTTTTTTTAAATAAGATATAAAAGTGCAATATAAACAACTACAACATTCTCAGTCTTTCAAATAAAAAACGTAATAAACAACGCATGAAAAGAATACACAATTTTGATGATACACAATTAGCATTCACGTGAAAAAAAAATATAAAATATGAATAAAAATCACCATTAGCGTTCAATGTAATTTTATTTCCATATTATTTATTGTTAAAACGATTAATATGCTTATAAGTATAATATCAACCCCACACAAAAAAATCACCATTGATGAACATACGAGTAATTAGTGAATCCATAGTAAGTGTCAAACAAAAAATAGATCAACCTTTCGGTGTTATCGAGGAAGTTGAACGAGCAAAGAGAGTTATGTTGCAACTTCGAGTGGTTCGCATGTTTGAGAGTAAATTTTCTAATTCTTATCATAACATCATAAAAATTATCTTTCATAATATTTAGGTATAATATTGTTTATTGTTTCTTTTTTCTTTTCACTTTCATTTCATTATTTTTTTGTGCAGACTTCTGACAAATAACTTCCAGTCATTTCAAATGGGAGTTGTTAGGAGATTGTGAATGCAACTATTAATGCTTCCACCATTTGGAGGGATTATACTGTGTTGCGACTTTCAAAAAACATGCGTCTTCAGAACATTTCTGATTCGGACGAGCGTGACAAAGGTAGCAACGTTTACTGATTGGATTGTTTAGAATTGGAGACGGGCCTGTAGGAGGATCAAATGATGGTTGTACCTACATTAACATTCTAGACGTTACAAGACTGGAACCCTTTGATGATCTAATTGCTACAATCGTGAGAAGTACCTATCCAATGTTCAAGAATACAACTGACAATTGTAGACATTTGAATGATAGTTCTCTATTAGCGTCTACTTTGGAGGTCGTTGAGTCTATCAACTAATACATGTCGAAGATGAATTCTGACGAATGTCGTATGTATTTGAGCTCTGACATTATGTGGAAGTCCCACTCAAATAATAACTTTTTTTTTTTGTTTTGGGCAAAATCTCCACACTTCCGAGTTCTTGAATAAAATCAAGTTTTTAGGAATACCGAACCATGAATTGTATTTGAAAATTGAAACTCCAATCATGTTATTGAGGAACGTGGACCATTCTATGGGACTGTGCAATGGAACACGCTTGGTTGTTACCAAGTTTTCTACTCATGCGCTTGAATGTAAGATATTAACTGGAGATCATGAAGATGAGAATGTGTTGATTCCTCGAATGAATATGATACCTTTCGATGTTAGGGTTCCGTTTACGTTCCAGCGTAGGCAGTTCCCCCTTATGATTTTGTATACCATGACCATAAACAAGAGTCAGGGTCGTATATTTTCTCATTTTGGCATGCTCTTAAAAAAAATCGATATTTAATCATGGCCAGTTATATACTGTTGTTTTGTGTGTAACTAATATGAAGGGGTTGAAAGTATTAGTTTATGAGGACGATGAATTGCCCGACAATCAAACTAATAATGTTGTGTATAAGGAGGTTCTTAATAATGAATTTTCATGACAATTTTTTTATGATTACTTGACAAATGCTCTACGTATTATAACTTATTGATTAATAACCTTTACCAAAATAAATATTGTCCGTGCATCGCACGGGTTACGTAGTAGTATGTGTACATAAATTTTCAAATCATATCCGAATAATCATCATCCTTCTTCCTTCATATTTATTTATATATTTATTTATTTTGGTGCAATCATATTTATTTATTTTGAAATTTGTACCTGTAATCCCTATAAAAATTGATTATTTGAGGCACACTTAAACTGAGGCTCTGGGCTTGATCTTTGCCCTGAGGCTATTCTTCATCACCACCGTAAATATGAGCCTCTCACTGAAGTCGATTTTGGCCCCATCGGGGTAAGCCGACCACTCGAACTCCTGCACCATTCGTGCCACCATCAGACTTATATGCAGCGTCCCCATCGCCAGTCCGGGGCAGATCCTCCGACCTGCCCCGAACGGCATCATCTTCACCCCTGTCACTCCAGTAATATCCGCTTCCTCGCGACCCTGGAAGAACCGATCCGGGTCGAACCTCTCCGGGTGGTCCCACACATTCGGATCATCCGATATGGCCTGCGAGAAAAACTCGACGTTGGTCCCCGGCGGGATGTCGTAGCCGGCCAGGTTAGTGGGCTCGGTGACAGCGTGCGTGAGGAGGAAGTATGTGGGTGGGTGCTTGCGCAGGAGCTCCTTGACAAAGGCGTTGAGATAGGGCAATTGCTCCACGTCCTTCTCCTCCACCTTCCTCGCCCCTAGGGCAGCCACGATCTCCTTGTAGAGCC